TTGTTGTGTAACTAAAATTAACAAATCCAGAAATCGTCAACTTTTATGAAATGTGTGAACAACTAGTCTGTTGCATTTATCGTACGTTTAGCTATTTTGTTGGGTTAACTCGTATCTTACCCTCCTGTTGTAAAATTACCCCAAACCAAGGGAATTGTTCCACTGTCGGCAACACTACGCGGGTAGGAAGTGCGGCTGGCGGGGAGATTGACGTATTGTTTTTGGACACATTTGACGACATGTAATTATGAGTGAACGCGGATTCTGGTTTGTTCTGTATTCTGAGGTGACTCCTAGCTATAAGCATGACAGACTGATGAGTGGTTTAATTTGACATGCACTGATCTATAGGGGATTAAAAAAGGGATCCGTGTATCAAAAGGGGAGAATATAAATGTTTCATAATTGTTGATAACTAGCTGCTCTCGCGTGGTTTAACCCGCTGCTTGGCTCCATTTAATCGTAGCGTGATGTTTTATAGCCTATAGCACCAAGGAACATTGTAGCTACCTATCAGTGAAAGAATTTTAGCAATCCGACCAGCGGTTTCAAAGATTACTCCCTACATACGAACTTACAAATTTTACTTCTTTATAATATTAGTATAGATTATTAGTAGATTTTTATACCCATTTTTTATGGTAAAGTTTGCTTTTGTGAGACAGATGTTACAAGGTTGTTCGTGATTGTGTGGGTGTTACCACTGCTATACGTATTAGGTATACGGTAGATTGTAAAACGTAATTCGAATACGTTTTATTTTAGATCAAAACATAAAGAGCTTTTAAATTTCAGCATGCTAGCTATTGTCAGATGTGTAAAACAGAAAAAATAACGCATAGTATATACAGAATGATTTGTTTTAGCAGCAAAAAAATATCGAATTTTTTAAGCAAACAGTTTTTCATACTTTAAAACATATGAAGATTATATTTTTTTTTATTTAAAAGAAATTGTTTTATGCTCAATGTGTCTAATCTCATTGAAATAAAATCCTAAAAAATACAGATTTGCATACAAAAACTAAACATAATAAATGTAGCTTAACATTAGAAATGTCAAACAAAACAATTATGTGGTACAGTAGAGATGTTAGATATGTTTCTCAGTTTCTCGTATTAGGAAATTAAAAGCTATTGATAAGTACTTCTAAAATCTTATGTTAAGTGAATGGTTATACCTACACAGAAATGTATACACATACAGGGTAGTATTTTGAATAAGGGACATATTAAAGTACACGATTTAAGTGATCGAAAAAAAAAACAACTTAATCCATAAGAAAAATACGGAAATCTCAAAAGAAGAATTTACTTCTCCATGCAAAATTATTAATCATCTATTGCGATTTGTATGGTGATATACTAACATTATTTTTTGAGATTTCAATATTGGGCCTATGGAAAAGTTGTTGTAGGTAATTGAGCATCAAAATCGGCTCCTTGAAAATGCTCCCCTCATTCAAATTCCACCCTGTATAATGGATAGGAATGGTAATCTAAAATCGCACAGTTTTATTATATGTATACGCATACTTAAATAAAATTAACCTATTAAATGACGCGCCATGAAAATGACAAATATATTATTGTTTATTTTTCTATTAGACTTTAACGTGCCGTTTTAAATTGAGACTTAAAAACATGGTCCTAAAAATAAATCATTTTTTCAAGATACATATTTCAATCTTTAAAAATTTTGGGTTGTCACATTATTGTCAAACTTGTCTTGACATCTTTTATTCCACGAAGGAGCTGTTTGCTAGTTGCTACATTGGTTGAGTAAAAAAGTATATTTAATATTACGACGTATTTCGAAAATAAATTATTAAGAATACGCAACATTACCTACTTCTTCTTGAAATTGAACATGTTGAGAACTATTCGAATTATTACTTATTCGCAATTGGAAATTATGTTAATATACTTTATTATGCGTATTAACAATACTTTTTTCTGTTTAAGATCAACTTCGACGCAAGCATTTGCCTGCTCTTTGGACGGCGGTTTTGACTGCTTGTTCCGTTATACTGGCATTTATTTTAATAAGGGACAGCCCAACAAGATCTAAGTATAACAACCGACCGTCCAATTTGCCGGAGAAGGATCCTCGACGCGTTAGTAACATTTTTAGAAATTTTAATTTCATATTCATTTATGTTATGATTTCAGATGGGTGCTACATATTAACTGCAATGTCACTACATTATGTCTGTCGTCAAAATACATAAGTATAATGTAGTTAGAAATAAGATGAACTGATTGTTAGCGATGATAAATATTTCGTATACTTTAAAGTTTAATCCAAATAAAGGACAATTTATATTATACATATTGACGGTAAGCCTATTAACAATCCGAGGTTATCTGCCAAAAAGGATAGACAAGTTTAATATTTAAGTTGCATCTAAAAATATTATTATGAAATGATCATCCATTAAGCTGTGTAGAAACATAACAAAGCCACTTTCTACACATTTGTCTAGGGCGACTGATTTTAGCGTGAGCGTGTAAAATGAAATAGTATATGAGCTCATATTTAGATATTCATGGACCTGTCTAAATGTCTGTGGGATCATTAAACAGTATAAGTTGTCGTTTGTGTTTTTCTTAGTAAGTCATTCCTGTTAAGAGGACATTCCGGTACTATTTTCTTGTACTGTTTGAACTTGTTAAAAAAGGTAGTGAACGAAATAAGGGAAGAAAAACAAGGTTTTCTTTACATAAAAAAGAAATATAAATAAATAATAAAACTGTTTTCATTAAACCTAAATTAATCGTATACATTATTAAATAAATTGAATAAGAATCTTACAACAAAATCTGTCACATATTAGTCAAAATGATTCATTGAGAAAAAAAATGTTGTACGAAAAGCTTTGCCACTTTTGAAATAGAAACCTTATGAGGTACAAATAAGACCGAATTTTAACTGGTGAGCTTCTACACTGATGTCATTTACACAGGAGGGATTTAGCGCCTCCCTTGATCTCTCCGTCTTTTCCTGGCGAGGCCACGCCCTCGTATCGGCGCGAAAACAATTACCGAAATTGTTTTCGTCATAAAAAATTAAAATAGAAAATTAAGCTTTGAAAAATGTCGCAAAATAAACAGTAAATCTCTTGTACAAAATTATCAAAACTGAAAACTGAATTTGAATTCATATTTGTTTGGAAAATGCTCGTCATAATCCACTACCTATATAAGGCCACAACATTTTTAGGCTGCACGTTGTCCATAAAAACATAGCACAATTTTATTATAAACTAATTTATTGGTTCCATTTTAGCTTGAAAGTAGAATTATGTAAAACGCATTTTCAATATTAAAGATAATTAAAAAGTAAACGTCTAAGACAATTAAACTATATAACAACTTAGACAATAATTTAGCACGCCAAATGAGCTTAGCTTAAAACTTTTCAAAGTTTAACTGGAAACTAAGGAACAAATTTTATCTTTTTTATGCGCAGTTAATATTGCAGTTGATTTATTTTTTAATTTAGAATTTTTTTTATTTCAATCTAGGTGCTATCAAAATTATTTATGATTAACGAATAAAATATATATTTCAGCCCATAGCCGAACAGGGACGACGTCTACGATTATTGTTCATGAATAACGTAAGTAAAATCAATAAAAATTAAATAAAACAAAAATAAGTTTTACAGGGGTAGTTTAGCTTGACAACCGCACTAGGCGAAGCCTGTATCGCGGTTACCAACAATGTGATTTCCTTAGGACTAAAATACTAATAAAAAAATATAAGCAAATAATAACAAAAAGTCAATTAGTGTATGAGTGTGTGTGAGAGAGTATGGAGGTGTGATTGTTTGAATTGAAGTAGCGTATATATTATACTAATTAATAAATTCAATAATGAAATTTCAAATAACACAACCTTTTTTTTTTTCAGAAATTTAAGAGTACTACGAGTACGACTGATGAAGTAAGTATCTTTTTTGTAGTTATTGTTTGTACCTTTATATTTTATCTAAAAAAGGTTTTAATTAGAACGGGCGCCGTCAATTGGGTCTGGACAGCTCCTATGTCTATATTATATTGTCCTTTATGTTATTTTGTTTTTCCTTTGACTTAACACAAATGCTACACTATTCTCATAATGGATGCCAACTTGATTTTTTGCATGTAGCAATTTGAAACTGATTGAAAAAGAGTAACGGTGGAGTTTCTTCCTCGTTCTTCGCCATCGAAAACTATAATGTAGAACGAGCTTCACTAAGATTACTGACCGATGGACTGACACTTTTTATTTTTAATCTTTGTTTGAAATTTAAAAGTCCCTTTAACGGTCTTACTTTGTTCAATAAATGTTTGTAAACGATTAATTAGGTATATGTAATCATTTCATCATTTTATTTTTAGGACTGATTTTTCAAAAATTTGAATAATGAAATTTGAATAATTAATATAATGTTTGTGTAAGAAAGTGACAGCAACAATTTTATGCCTCACATAACATTTATCTGACTATTGAAAAATCTGCCCTTAGTATGATTACAATGAAAACAGAATAAAGAATAGGTTTAGGTTACTTGTATGACTGTTTAATAAAAAAGGATAAAAAATATAAAAAGAGGTGCAGAATTGATTTAATTTGATCTGTTCTCCTTCTTTTGAGGTTCAAGCGTCGTGACGTAGTGTCACTTAGTACAATAGTAGTCACATAACATAATTATGCAAGAAGTTCGATCGAATTCTACGTCAGAATATTGTTACGTGCCTGACGTCACGTTCCTGACTATGCGGGCTTGGGTTACGGGATTGGATAAAATTAAACACTAATACCGGTTTTCAGACTTTCTATTGCACTTAAATGACAGTGTTCACCGAGTTAAGTTTTCGGCGTTCCTCTCCAGCAGAGTACGGGCGTCTGACACAAACTTCCGTTTGCCGCTCACAGTTCACGCTGACTTTCACTTAACTCACTGCACTTCACTATTTCACTGCACTTCACTATTTCACTCACTTTTCCTCTTTTTCACTTCTTCCTTTTCTTCCGAATCGCTTTGGACTTAGAACTCAACTGCCAGCGGTGAGCCGCAGTTCTGCTTATTTCCCCGGTCAGGTTCTGGAACATTCAATTTCGTTATTCTTTTTGATCGTCATGCCTCCAGAACCTTCCAATAATTTCGTTATTCATTTTTATTTATTCTCCTTCTCACTCTTTAATTTTTCATTTCTTTCACACAAATAATTCCAGAAAGTTCGACAAAACTTCTATCAACTAAAAAACTTCATGTTTACGGCGGGACTCGAACTCGAGGTCTCTGTGGTGTAATCCACACGCCTTAACGATTACACCAACTCGTGTTGACAATTCACGACGAAATTTACAATCTCTAGGCAACGTTTGACAACCATCCATTGACGTCATGATGTCAAAGAGTTTTCCGTCACACTGCCCCCCTCTTAGATTCGCTCGTCCCGAGCATCGTTGCTGCCGTAATACCTCGCCAACCTGTCTATATGGACAACTTTCAAAGGGCTCCTTGAAGTCTTCCGAATTCTGTAAGTAATGTCATTGATCTTCGTGACTATCTCATAAGGACCTTCCCAACTCGGTTGCAGCTTCGGAGATTTTCCCTTCCTTCTGACTGGATTATGAAGCCAGACCAATGACCCCTCTTCAAACCCAACAGAATTGGCTCGTCGATCATAGCGCGTCTTTGCGCGATCACTAGCTTGAAGGCCGGCCTCCCTGATCTGCTCATAAATGTCCAACATTTTTGCCCTTAACTCGCTTATGTAATCGCTAAACTCGGTGCGAGAGACTGCCGGTAATCTCAATTCCCTTCCAAAATTTGCAAATGCAGGCGTCTTTGCGGTACTTTCATGTACAGCAGTCCGATAGGCAAGCAAGAAGAGAGGTATGTAGGTGTCCCAATCTCTCTGATGGCTGTCAACCACCTTTGCTAAGTGTCGCTCCAATGTTTGGTTGAAACGTTCGACCATTCCATCTGACTGTGGATGATAAGGGGTCGTTCGAGTCTTATGGATTCCCAAAAGTTTACAAGTTTCCTGAAAAACTTGGGACTCAAAGTTCCGTCCTTGATTACTGTGCATCTCCAAGGGCACTCCGAATCGGGTGAATACCTCGTTTACCAACTTCGTGGCTCTGTAGCCACGAAGTTACTGGCTCTTGATTCGGTATGGCAAAGACCTCCGGCCATTTTGTAAAATAATCCATAACCACTAAAACGTAACGATTGCCCGAATCAGTGATTGGAAATGGTCCAGCGATGTCTAAGGCTATTTTCTCCCAAGGCATACCAACATTGTAGATTTTCATCGCCCCTCTGCTTCTTGTTTGTGGACCCTTGACAGCTGCACAACTAGTGCATTTCCGGCACCAATCTTCGACGTCATATTTGCAATGCAACCAATAAAACCTCTCCTTGATCTTCACCAAAGTCCTCCTAATTCCCAAATGTCCTCCAGAAGATCCATCATGGAACGCTTTTAATACATCCCTTATTTTTGAACGAGGCACCACCAATTGCAAATGCTCGTCCTTGCCGTTTGTTGATTCCCATTTCCTGCACAGAAGTCCGTTATGCAGCGTAAGGCTTTTCCACTGTGCCCATAAACCTTTCGTTACCGCGCTATATTGGGCGACGTCACTCCAACTTGGCTTGTTACCACTTCGTAGCCAGTCCAGTATTGGTTTAATATCTGCATCTCTTTCCTGTTCTAATTTCATCGCATCATCTCCCCATGCCTCGTCAACAGTATCAGTCCTTATCACCTTAAGAAAAGCAGTTTCCTTCTTGGCACAATGCTTGCAATCTTCCACGCATGGGCGTCTCGATAATGCATCTGCGTTGCCATGAATTCTTCCGCCACGATGTTCGATTTCAAAGTCAAATTCCTGAAGTTGTTCCAACCATCTGGCTACTTGGCCTTCGGGATCCTTAAACTGAAGCAGCCATTTCAAAGCAGCGTGATCAGTTCTGATCAAAAATTTCCGTCCCAGTAAATACTTCTTGAAATGGTGCAGAGTTTTGACTACGGCCAGCAATTCCCTCCTGGTCACGCAATAATTCCTCTCCGGCTTGGATAGTGACTTGCTGAAGTAAGTAAGTAACCTTCTCCTGCTCACCATCGCGTTGTGAAAGGACACCTCCTATTCCAATATTGCTGGCATCCGTATCAACTACAAATATTCCTTTCGCGCTGGGGTATCCGAGAATTGGTGTGTTACAGAGCCGTTCTTTTAGTTCTCGAAAGGCTTGCTCACAATCCTCGTCCCAGATAAAGGCACGTTTCTCCTCTGTCAATCGATGCAAAGGCTTGGCAATGTCCGAGAATCCTTTCACAAACCGCCGATAATACGAGCACAATCCAAGAAATGCCCGAACTTGCGTTTTGTCTTTAGGTGTTGGCCATTCCTTAACAGCGACAGTCTTGGCTGGATCAGTCTCAATTCCTCTCTCAGAAATAACATGTCCTAGATAATTCACTTCGCGCTTGAAGAAAAAGCATTTCTTTGGACTCAACTTTAAATTTGCTCCACGCAGCTTGCCGAGTACCTTTTCCAATTTCCTTAGATGATCGTCAAAATCCCGTCCAACAATGATGATGTCATCGATGTAAACTAGGCAGGTTTCGCCCAGCAGTCCCGCCAGCACCTGTTCCATCAAACGCTCAAAAGTTGCCGGTGCATTGCATAATCCAAATGGCATCACCTTAAATTGCCAGAGTCCTTTCCCAGTTGAGAATGCGGTCTTTTCCTTGTCCTTGGGATCCAAATCCACCTGCCAATAGCCGCTTTTCAGATCGAGCGTTGAAAACCATTTCATGCCACTCAGTGTGTCAAGTGTGTCATCGATTCTTGGTAACGGGTAGCTATCCTTCTTGGTTACATCATTCAATCGTCGATAGTCTACGCAAAACCTCGTTGAACCATCTTTCTTCTTGACAAGCACGACAGGTGAACACCAAGGGCTAGAAGAGGGCTCTATCACGTCATTTTTCCTCATATCGTCAATCATTTCTTCAACCTCTTTCTCACGAGCGAATGGTATGCGTCTGGGCCTTTGACGAATTGGCATTGTATCACCTGTGTTTATTTTATGCTTCACCAAACCAGTTCGGCCAATATCACCATCGCTTCTTGAAAACACATCAGAGAATCGAAGAAGTAAATTTCTAGCTTTCATAGTCTCCACTTTAGTCAGACTTTTGTTTTCATCTAAGATTTTCGTTACAAAGTCAATTCCCGTACTGTCCTTCTTCACAAGATTCTCCGAGCATTTTCTTATCCAGGCCACTTCTTCCAATACGCCCACAGGCTCTCCTTCTTCAATCGTAATTTTTGAATCACTGAAGTTGAATACCGGAATGCGGTTGACATCAGATGACCCCACGACAGTTCTTGCCGGTAGCCATGAGCTTACGTGTTCCGATTTATCAATCACAGCGCACCTTCGAGGTAAACTTCCTTCCTTCCTCCTAGGTAATGCGATTGGTACGAGAGTCTGTGATTTTGGTGCAAGAACAGTTCTTCTTAAACAGCAAACTTTTCCCAGGGTTCCACCCTTCATCGGAATTTCCTCAGTTCCACATAGTAAAACTCCAGATTTTAAGTCGATGTTACACTGGTGCCCTTGCAGGAAGTCAAGTCCCAGGATGCAGTCATCCAGAATTTTGGCCACAATAACCTCATGTGGATAAACACGTTCCCCAATTTTGATTGTTACATGCAGTTTTCCGCTTATCGGTATGCACTGGCCGGTAGCTGATTTCATTTGTAGGCCAACAATTGGTTTAAGGTGTTTCCTGATGTTTTGCTCGAGCAGCCGAACATTTATCACCGTCCTTGAAGCTCCAGTATCTAATGTTAGCTGACTGTTTTTCCCATTTACTTGACCGTCTATCACCAGAGTATTTCCATCGTTGGTTTGCTTGATGTAGATTGTTGGGGTTGTTCCACTACCAGCCAGCGCCCACCCCGCAGCCCTGGCTGGATTTAAGTTTCCCTGCTGGTCAGAAGTTGAGACCGCCGCGTCCTGGCGGTTCATCTTCTTCGGGCAGTCGCACCGTATGTGCCCACGCTCTCCACATCCATAGCACATGAAGTTCCGACGGCGTGGAGGTACCTGCTCCGTTGTCGTCATTTCCCGCAGACGTAAGGTACGGGAGTTGCCACGCACGGCTTCCACTTCCAATGCATGGGCCAGAGCTTCTTTCATGTTCTTGTGATGGCCCAGATGAACAGCAGCTCGTACTTCGGGGTCCCGAATACCGTCAATGAACGCTTGGAGAAGCGTGCCTTCAATCATTGACGGAGTCGACCGGAAAGCTCGACGCACAAGTTTCTCGATTTCCACGGACCATTGCTGTAGACTCTCATTAGCACGCTGAGTACGCTCTTTTAATTGCGCTCTGTACACGTGTTCGAGGTGGCTGTCTCCAAAACGTGCCTCAAGTGCGTCGAGGAGGGCACTAAAGCTGAGATCCCCACTTGCGCCGATAGCTTCCAGCACTGAGAGCGCTTGATCACGGAGGGCCAGGGTGAGGGCTGACTGTGCTTCCTTCTGAGTCCAACCATAAGCCTCCATAAGTGTCTCAAACTGTAGCTTGAACGCGTTCCAGGATGTTGTTCCGTCGTAATGGGGAATCTTGAGCCCTTTCGTTGCGCTTGAGGCCACATTTGGGGCGTCAAAAACGGCTGCAAGACGGCTTCGGCTCTTCAAAGGGCTTGGGCTTGTCACTTCCTGCTTGATTTTGGAGATCTCTTCTTTCACTCTCTCCTCTATCGCCATGACGCGATGTTCCAACTTGCCTAACCCTTCCTCCACTTCTTGTACCCGTTCGACAGCCTTTTGCAGTCCCTTCGTGAAATCCTTATGCATCTCTTCCAAGCGACGCGCTTGCTCCTCTTGGCGGCGAGCTTGATCCTCTTGGCGACCAGCTTGATCTTCTTTCAGCTCCCGTAGCTGTTCCGCCTGACAGCGTGCTTGCTCTTCTTGGCGGCGCGCTTGCTCTTCTTGGCGGCGCGCTTGCTCTGCCATCATTTGCTGCAGCTGTAGCAGAAGATCCACCTGCACAGGCTTGGCTTCTGCATCGCTGGTTTGAGCTGCAGCACCCTCTTCCCTCACACGCTGCGCTTCTGACATTGCACGGGTACTCACTCCTCTTACGTCCTGCGGCACTAGCGGCATTTTTCTCCAATCCCACTTCTGACACCAAATGTTACGTGCCTGACGTCACGTTCCTGACTATGCGGGCTTGGGTTACGGGATTGGATAAAATTAAACACTAATACCGGTTTTCAGACTTTCTATTGCACTTAAATGACAGTGTTCACCGAGTTAAGTTTTCGGCGTTCCTCTCCAGCAGAGTACGGGCGTCTGACACAAACTTCCGTTTGCCGCTCACAGTTCACGCTGACTTTCACTTAACTCACTGCACTTCACTATTTCACTGCACTTCACTATTTCACTCACTTTTCCTCTTTTTCACTTCTTCCTTTTCTTCCGAATCGCTTTGGACATAGAACTCAACTGCCAGCGGTGAGCCGCAGTTCTGCTTATATACCCCCGGTCAGGTTCTGGAACATTCAATTTCGTTATTCTTTTTGATCGTCATGCCTCCAGAACCTTCCAATAATTTCGTTATTCATTTTTATTTATTCTCCTTCTCACTCTTTAATTTTTCATTTCTTTCACACAAATAATTCCAGAAAGTTCGACAAAACTTCTATCAACTAAAAAACTTCATGTTTACGGCGGGACTCGAACTCGAGGTCTCTGTGGTGTAATCCACACGCCTTAACGATTACACCAACTCGTGTTGACAATTCACGACGAAATTTACAATCTCTAGGCAACGTTTGACAACCATCCATTGACGTCATGATGTCAAAGAGTTTTCCGTCACAATATTTTAACTGATTGTATACTTATCAAAGTTAATTTTTCAGGAGTTATTAATAACTTCCACCAGTTTCCCAAACGAAAATATGTCTCCTGAACCAGGAGAAGATGCCTTAACCACGACGCCTGCTTTCGCATCGCCAACTCAGCAGCCCTTGACAACGACGACCATTGAGGTTAAGTTCTTAAATTATATTTACCTTGGTTTTGGAGGGGGAAATTATCTTGGCTGCATCCACTATGGGTGATGTAATAGGAAGTTCCAGACTCTCTTGTTCCTCCTCTACTCTTGAGGTGCGGCTATGTAAATTATTGCATTTACTTTACAGTTTTACACCCACGAACCACGCTGGATCAAGTATCTAAAAGGGACCTGTAAAAAGTTGTATTCGATATAATATTGGAAAACAAACGATAACTAATAAATATTTTTGTTTTTGTTTGATTTGTTATTGCAATTTAAATTGAAAGTGCTGTTACTACAGCACTTAATATGCAGTATACGGCATAGTTTAGTAATATTATAGAAAATATTACTAAACTCTGCACAAAAAAAGAATGTGCAGTTTATACCTAGGTTGGTTATTTATTTCTTATTACTCAAAATGGGCATGCAAGAACAATTAGTTTAGTTCAAGTGTATGAATGTTCATTAAGTGCCACTTTAAATGCACATAAAACTTAGAAAGACAGACGATAATGATTTGAATTCTTATTAATTAATAGTTTCTACAGCTATTTGTAATTATATTAGTCTTAGCTTGCACAAATCAGTTCTATAACAATATGGTCGTATTAGGCTCATCGTTAGAATTGGACCTGATTCTTGAGCTCTTGTGAAACTCGATCGAACCATCAATTGACTTAATACTTATAAAAGCTAATATTTCAGGAGTCAAACCCGACTACAACCAGTTCTCCAAAGGAAACCTCTCCCGAACCAGGGGAAGCAAAACGTACGTCAATACCGGCGTCGTCAATATGGCCTTGGCTCCTGAAGTCGACCAGCTTTGAGGTAAAGATCTGATATTCTAACTTAGGTACCGAATATTTTGATTTTAGTATTTAAAGAGGATCCCTAACTTTAACTAGTTGCATAAAATCATACGACAAAATGGGAATTGCAAACCACGAGTACCTCTTGAAGGCGTATTTTAGTTGTAGGTATCTATAAACATCGTGTCAGAAAAGCGAATTGTCCTTTAAAAGCGATATTCATGTTTGGCTTATTTGTATTTATAATATCTTATATAACCAGTAAAGATATAATAACTTCAATTATTCATTATACATAAAACAATGATGAATAGTCCCTGGTTACAAATGACATCGCCCATTCTGAAGATATTGTAGTCCCATGTAGTGCGATGCCACCATGCTGCACGCAACGCCATCCTACCAAAAAATGTACCTTCATTTGTATACACTTGTTTTACTAAATAACTTTACTGACTATATACATCTATGTACTTAATATAGCGATTTTTCTTAAAAGATTTGTTCTATATGTGTATTACTGTTATATTTGCACGGTTATTTTAAATGCTATGCGGCTGTTTGATTGGAAGTTCATTGAGATATAAAAATAACCTCAGAATTAATGTATTAAAAAATCAAATATAGGTCTTGGGATGTAAGTAAATAGGGACTATTTATTTATAAAATTGATGTATCTTTGTTCATGGCGTAGTTGTTAGTATTTGTGTATTAGTTATGGATAATGTTAAGAAAAAAGCTTGCGCGACATGATGCAGAGCCCTTATATTTTTGTACATAAATAGGTTTCATATTATAATATTTTAAAGTATATAAGTTATAGTGTATCAATAGGTTTCGCTGTCAAAGCTGTTATATTTTGCCGCTCGCCACCGGCAGATGGCTGCCGAAACTCGTCGATTGAAGTAGAAAAGTTACGTGCTTTATTAATAGACACACTATATTACCAAAGAATGTACATCTAAATTGTTGAGGTAGTGCAGTACGCTAAGCGCCCTCGACTATTAAACTGGATCAATTCCAGTGGTAATCACTACAACTAAAGCCATCAACCAAGGAAAAAGTGTGCGATGACTTATAGTGTCAATAGCTTGCAAATGCGAAAGTTTTTTGTTTTTAAAACCTAGGCCTTGCTTTGCCTTAGGGTTTGAAATCCAGGGAGTAACAAGTTGAGTGAACGATATAATCAGTATTCCCAGTTTACAAATTATAATTTATTAGAGCCATGGTATACTGCGTGACTGCTATTACAAGCCAAAGAGTTTTAAGATTCGGTAAGAATTTTGTGCAGTATTACAAGCATGTAGAAAAGTAAACCAATGAGTTTATAAGTAAATTTAAACAAATGCAATGCTCTTACTCTGCATAATATAACATAAGTATATATACTAAGAAACAATTGGCGAATTCGTATACATTTTTAATACATTTTAGAGCGAATTTTTAAAGATTTAATAGCTTAAATTATGTCTGGCAGGGAAGTTGAAACGTAGCCCGACTAATATGGTTACTTAATCGAGATTGATCACAACTGGACAATGAAATGTGATCGATTTAGGCAAAAAGAGAAAAGGTAATAAATGGTCACTATTGCAAAGTACACTTTTGAAACTCACATACATTGACTTAAGTCTGATATGTTGGAAGATATTCTTATCATTTATTTTCTATAAAATATTATGTACATATATGGCTTAACAAAGACGTAGATTTGACAGGTTGATCCTACTATTGGCATACCTACTCCCTTTTAGCATTTAACTCTGTACTGAAAGTTAGACCAGAATCAACCTGTATTCTTTTTGGCTTGGATGCCAAGCATTTGAATATTTGCACATAACATTTATATGCATGGACATCTTAGAAGTAGTTTTTGTAGGTGATACATTTTTGTGTTTCTCGACATCGTTGCAAAATATTTTTAATTTTAATTTAATATTTTTAATGTATTTGTAGGTAATCTTCAATTGAGTACGTTATACATAAAACGCTAAAACATATTATAAAACTAATAAAATATATGAAATTTGACTGTTCGATCATAGCGTTCAAAAAAGTAATGAATCTACTATCATCATCTTCCTGCCCTTGTCCCGTTTTATTTGGGGTCGGCGCAATATGTCTTTTCATCCATTCTGTCCTGTCACCCGTCACGCTATCACTAACTCCTCTGTCTTCCATATCTCTGCTACATGCAATCGCTTTTCATCCGTCTTTTTCAGAGCCCAACATTCTGACCCATACAGTTATGAATCTACTATAATTATTACTATAAATTATTGTACCTTTATATAATAACTAATGTTGTTCTTTTTGTTTACAGAATATAACAACAAAGCATGGAGCTTGATCCAAATAATTAGTTTACTTTAGTCAGTGAAATCTTAGTCATCATTTTGTGCGAATGATTTATATTTTACATTTATTTATTATTTTTAGTTTTATTAGTTACATAAGTTTACGCATTTATAACGTATTGGATATGGCCTGGCTATTGTATGTACATGATAAAGAGGATGTATATTACAATTATTTAAAAACAAAATTTATTCTTAATGCCATACAGCTGTGTTTTACTTTGAATTTTTTTATGTTTAATTATTATTGCTGTATAAGCTATGGCTCACGTTATGGTTAGGTTAAATTTTATTCAGCTTTCGATTTTGAATCTTCGTTCTTTGTTATATAAAACAATTTGGAGCAGAAAGTATTTGATGATCTGAAGATCATCTCGACTTTCTTTCTTTTGTTGATACATTAAACATACATAATATGTAAATAATTATATGGATCTGCATTCACTTGACTAATTTTTGACGGACGTCTAAGTTGTTTCGACATAGCAATGCATCTTGCGATCATTACAGATAATTTATGCAACAATTGAAGCCCAGCAGCAACTGCAGAACAATCCCGATGGTTGTATTTGGTAATGGAGTTGAGGAACTCTGCAATGAAACCATTCAATTTAATTAAGTTCTGGAAATAGTGTTATAGTAGGCCTATCCGGAACCATTACTATTCATATTTTCGGACGCCTCCTCCTCGCGTCAGTTTCCTCAGTGCTAAGGGTCGTGACCACCTTGTGGAAGCAGTGTTCTGCGTATTACTCTCCGCTATGTATTCTAAACATCGCTCGGTATCGTAAATGAGTCTTTAGTTTATTTGTGTTAATTTGAACTTGAATGTTTTTTTTTCTTGTGAAATAAAGTGGCGTGCAGTCAGAGATTGAAGTATATGAGGATTATCCTTATTACGACTACGAAAGCCGTTTTGTACGAATACTAAGT